ACGGCAAGTAAAATAGGAAAAGATAAGTAGCTGTTGTGTTATGTTGTGGAGTTGATGTTCTTTACCATGAATCAATCCTAATCAGAGGTGAGTGCGTGACAATAAATTATCAGTGCATGTAATGCTTTAGCTTTTATTGAGTGTTGATGCTTGTGTTCCTTGTTGTTGTGTCCTTCATTATGCCTTGTTTGTGTCGAGAACAAAGTTGTGTAGGAAGGAGCGAGCCAGATATGGCGAGGATCGATTCCGAATGCATTACAGAGTCGATGTTGATCGACACATCTTGGTCGACACAAGAAGATGTGTCGATCAACACCAAGGCCGGTTGAGAGCTTATCATGTTTCTAAATTGACTGGATTGAATGTTGTTTGACTATCGTATTTGGGTGTTAATATTTAACTTACTTCTATGTATAGCCCGTAGAAAGGAGATACGTCTCATTGAAGTATTGGTAATAATATTTACACCTCTCATTTCTTAATGTCGTTAACTTTGACCGTACATTTTTGTTTAAGATTTTTTACGCGATACAATGTTATGTTATTTGTGATATAGTCAATGAGAATTGTTTTTCATGGAGATAAGAATAAACATACTTTATAGGTCAGAACTAATCAAATAATTCAAACGAAAATTTAAAATTATTTCTGAAAATACAAACCGTATAAAATAATAAAAACAGAATTTTATTCTGAAATTAACATCACTACTTATTTATTTAAAACATATGTTTACAAACATTTTAGTCAAAAAAACTAGTTGTATGTTTTAGAATTACCATAGCAAAAAAAAAATATTCAATATTTTCAATAGATTCATTATTTTAATTCGTATTATCCAATAAAAAAATAAATAAGTTACTCTCTTTAACGATATCCTTTTAATGTGCCTAAAATAGTTTCTTATTATTTTAGACTTATCTACAATAAAAAATTTCCAATCGTAATATAATTTTAATTATTTTCTTATTTAATAATAATAAGTTATGTTTCTTGGTCAACGAAAAATTCTTTAGAAAAAAAAGAATAGCACTAAATGGGTAAAAAAACAGAAAATTATTTTTTGGCAATGAAATAAAAAAGGTAGAAAAAAAAAAGAAATAATTATACTAGTCAAACCAAAACGTATACAAAATTAACCTATATAACCCTGTTTGAATCACACAACCATGCACTCAAATAAAAAAAGAATCATCTTCATTGCTTGAGGTAAACCCCATATTCTTATGCACTTTATTTTTTAATCTACTTATGTTTTCATAACTAGAAAAATAATTCATAGCAAGAAGAATATCATTTAACATAAATTTAGTTTAGTTTTTGGATTTTGGCATGCAAAATAAAATATTATCTAAATACAGTTTTATTCCTCGTATCAAAAAGACGAAATAATTTGCTTTAGAAATCGAGTGTAAATCATTGCACTTTAAAATAATTGATAATATATGATTTTACAATGATTTATTTGATCTTTAAAATATGTCTTTTTCATTAAATATTGATGAATGTTCTTTTCTGTCAATAATGATATTATTGACTTGTATAGATGCCGAAGGAAAGACCCATATTTTCAAAGGTAAGTAATAACGCTAGAGTATCACCATATCCTGACCGTCGATCTTCGAACAGCAACAAACAAGTATCACATGAGTCAAAGATTTCGGTCCATTTAGAATGGGAGGATGTTATGTGCGTTATATGCATGGAACCACCCCACAATGCTGTCCTCTTGCGCTGCTCGTCATACTCTAAAGGATGTCGTCCTTATATGTGTGATACAAATCTCTATCACTCCAATTGTTTCAATCAATTCAGCGAAAACAACAGGCGCCACTCAAATGTGAAGACTTTAAGTTGTCCTCTCTGTAGAGGAGAAGTCTATGGGACAGTGTATTCGACAAGTGGAAGAAGATTCATGAATGCTAAACCAAGGCCTTGCTCTGTCGATAAATGCAAATTTTCCGGAACATATTCTAAGCTCGATAAGCACTTCATAACAGCGCATATGTATCCCAATACACCAAATGTTGATCCATTGAGGCAATGGACGCCGGAACAAATACACAGGAGTGCTGAATACATAGAACAGATGAGTCAAACTGAAATTCCGTATAGGCTTCAGGTTGTGCAACATCAATTTCCATACATTTATCACCCCTCTATGATTCAGAGGAACGTTAACGGAACTGTGCAAAGTCTTCTTTACTCGAGACAGGAAACGAATCACTTTGGACTCGGCAACAACACCACATATTCCATGCCTAGACTGGAGTTTCAAGCTATGTCCATGTTTTATGGATGGGTTTCATAAAGACCTTTCCTTAGTGAAAGCTTAAAATGTTTAAATTGATCAAAGTTTTAAATTCTTAATACTTTGTTCTTTCATTTAGTCAATGTTTTAGTGTCTTAATATTATTTTATGTGTAATATTATGATTTTCAAATTATGTTTCTATGCAAAGTTTTCTAATGTTTAAAATTGTTAGTTTTACTTATTTGTACACGCCAACGAAATTCAAATTCTACATTTTAATCTATCTCTCTCTCTCATCATTATTAATATAAGATATTAATAATCTAATAATATTTATAAAACGAGTATTATGAATTATATACTTAATTGAAAAACATGAGGAATAATATAATGGATAGTTAAAAATGTTTCTCATATGATGGATATCTATTTTCGTATAAAATCTAAAATGATTTGTTCCCGTGTTTTGTCTTCATTCGCACAATTGCAACAATCACATCCTGGATGATCACTCAAGAGATTTAAAAATATTCTCTTGACAATAACATTAGTCGTTGACTAGAGGATATTTTCCTTAGTGAAAACGTAAAAATTTTAAATTGATCAAAGTTTTAATGTCTTAATACTTTGTTTTTTCATTTAGTCAATGTTTGAGTGTCTTAATATTATTTTATGTGTAATATTATGATTTTCAAATTATGATTCTATGCAAGTTTTTCTAATGTTTAAAATTGTTACTCTTACTTATTTGTACACACCAACGAAATTCACATTCTACATCTTCCCCTCTCTCTCTCATCATTATTAATATAAAATATTAATAATCTAATAATACTAATAAAATGAGTATTATGAACTATATACTTAATTGAAAAGCATGAGAAATAATATGATGGATAGTTAAAAATGCTTCTCATAGGATGGATATATATTTTGATATAAAATCTGAGATTATTTGTTCCCGTGTTTTGTCTTCATTTGCACAATTGCAATAATCACTTCCTAGATGATCACTCGAGAGATTTGAAATATTTTCTTGGGAATATCAATAGTCGTGGAGTAGAGGATATTTTCTTATCTAAACGCAACTATATATGTGTTAGACATCATTTCAAACACAGACTACTTTTTAGCGGTTCTTTACCCAAACTACGATACCCCGCAATTATCAACCTAAACTCACTACAAATTCAAGTTTTCAACCTAAACTATATGAAATTAGCCAAAAACAACATATGTTGAAACATTGTTAGTTAACCGCTTAACAGTTATGAGTCAGTCGACACCGTGTAAATGATGGGACATTGGAGTTGAGTAAAATGATGTCGTTTTGTTAGTTTAGAGTTCTCAAATCGAAGATTCGATGAATGTTTGCTTTACCGATTCTTTGATTCAAGAACCGTAAACTCTCAAAATGACGTCGTTTTACCAACTCTAATGTTGCGTCATTGTCACGGTGTCTGCTGACTCATCGTTGTTAAGCAATGAACTAATATTGTTTCAGCAAATGTTGATTTTGGCTAATTTCATATAGTTTAAGTTGAATATTTGATTTTATAGTGAGTTTAGGTTGATATTTGTCGGATATTGTACTTTGGGTATAAAAAGCCGCCATCTACTAGTCTGGGTTGTTTTTCGCCATTTCTTCTCGTATGTGACACCATATGGACTTACGGCTAATGATGGTCCCCTTCTTGATGATTCGAAGCAGTATCTCAGGTAGTGGGCTATTTAATTTATCTTGCAAAATCAATATCTGATTGGTGTTATTTTGTCCATGTTTTATCCCAATTTATGCAAACTCTTCCTGAAGAGTCCCATTGGTACGCTGCACCTCGTGTATTCTATTTTTTAAAGGGTTCTTTTGGTCAAGGTTTCTTACTCCTCATGTTAAGGTATTTTACTGTTCTCACTCTCTCATGACTCAGTATGGCCAACTTTGCCTCAACCCTGGCTCAAAATAAATTTTGACCCTTGTGTACGAATTTTCTTTTTGTTTGAGATTTGTTAAGCAAAAACAAAATTTGAGATTTTTTTGAATTATTTGTTCAATTTTGGACCGAAAATTATAATCTCTTATAACACTTTAAAAATTATATGGGGTAGTTTTTGAAACTTTTGGGCCCTTTTATTATGAATTTCGGACTTATTTACATATTTTTAAAAAAGTTGGACATTCTTCTTATATAGTTTTTTTCAAAAATGTATAGTCGCTTAAGCCATTGATCCCTCTGTCCACCCTATCATAGCCGGGCTGGCTAACCTTCAAAGAGACTTACTACCTTTAATGGTTTTGTTTGGCGGTTCTCCCATTTCTTGTAAAATGTAATAAGCATGACACGGTTTCAGACTATTTCACAAAGACTAAAGTATCGCTCTATGGCAACTGCTCTTTGTCGATTATTGCACGAATCAGGCATCAATCATTTTGCATGCGCCTACTTTTTGTTTCTTGTAATAGTGTAGATGTCATTCACATTGGTTAATTTTCACGAGCATACCAAACATATAAAGTATTATTGTCATTATATCAAAGTTGTAGTTTGTTCTTGATTGTAGGATGGTCGCGAGTGACGCTCGACACCAGTGATGGATGTCGATCGACACTACTCATCAGTTTGGGTTTTCGGAAGCTAGTTTCGACCGACACTAGGCAGGAGGAAATGAGTTTCATGGTTACTTGGTGTTAGGAGAGTCTGATCTTGCCATTTGCTCTCAATTTCATTGTTGTTTAACCCAACTTAAGAGGTAAGTGCATGACCAAGGCTTATCTAAGTAGTTTTGATACATGATTTGGTGATTTCTATGATTGTTTATAGATTTCCTTGCTTGTATGTTTGTTTTTTTGTGTTGTGGTGCCTCTGTATTTTCCTTTGAAGAGTTATAACCGGCCATGGAGGGTCAGGAGGAGGATTTACGTCGATGAGAAGCGACATGAGTG